CCCCCACCCCCCGTAGTATTTCTAGATTAGCTCACGTCAGCGCACAAGTAGGGCGGCCTGAGGGCTTTGACCAGCGAGTTGGAGCTTCCTGGACAAGACAGGCTTCCCCCCTACTCCCTACCCCCCACTGCCAGTGCCTTCCAGTCTCCCTGAAGCTCTTCTCCAGATAGGAACCTCTGCCACATTGGACGGAGATGCTCCCTTGATCCCTCCCCAGGTACTCTCTTATATTCTCCCAAAAGCCTGCTTACCAGAAGCCAAGACAGAAGCCCACCCCCTAACCTGAGCAATCCACTCCCCTGCACTATGAGGAGAAGATACTGCCAAGAAAACCTCCCCATAGAGCCCAGCTCCAAACACAGACCCCCCAAGTCACGATATGACCCAGAACAAAGAACAGAAATCCTTCCTCCCCAAACACAGATTGTCTCATCCAAGGAGACTTGAAATAGAACTGATCTCCCATCCCAGAGATCATCTTCCACTCCATCCCCAAAGGCTGGGGAGAGAGATCCCCTCTCCCTACAGACTCCTACAGGCAAAGATCTTCACCTCCTCATCCTTATCCCAGCTTTTCTGTTCCTGGTGAAATTCTTTAGTTCCACACGAGGTGGTCCAGGCAGAGACTAGGGGTCCCTAGTGTCTTCCTCTACCCCATACACCCCCACACCTGGGGGTGGCCATTGATGCCTTTTGACAACTATGTATCAGTTGGTCATTCCTGATTTATGGGTTGATTTATGATGGTCCAAAATGCTTATCCTCTCTTTCCTTTTCCCTTATGATGTTTGCTGTTATAAGACCCAAGGTGGACTGGGAAGTTCTTTCATTAGTGAGAAATGGTGTCATTCATCATTCATTCATCCAGCAAACGTTCTCAGCACCCTACTGTGCATGTGGCTCTCTTCCCACTGTTGTGGGAACGACCAAGACAATGCAAGCATGACCCCTGTCTAGGCTCCCGTGGCAATTCTTGGGTCGGTGGGGACACTGGAGAACATTCAGTCCAATCATCCTTTCTGCGATGCTTACACCGTCCCTAAAACATCCCAACAGAGCCTCACATTTACAGATAGGCACACTCAGGCCTGGCAGTGAGGTGTCCTGCTCAAGGTCATTCAGAGCCCAGGGTAGAGGCAGTCTAGGCCGCAGGAATCCTGATGCCCCTCCTGTGCCTTCTCTTCCATGACCTTGTCTGTCCTCCCATCTCCTCTCCCTGGTTGTTTGGTATTCGGTCACCTCACCGTCAAAAGAGATGACATTTCGAGCAGACGTTAGTTCTTTTCGCAATAATTAGATGCCAACATTGGAGGAGGAAAGCCTCTGTATCCCTCTTTTTTTTTTTAATGTTTATTTATTTTTGAGAGAGAAAGAGTGAGCAGGGAAGGGGCAGAGAGAGAGGGAGAGAGAGAATCCCAGCCAGGCTTTGCTGCCACAGAGCCTGACTTGGGGCTTGAACTCATGAACCATGAGATCATGACCTGAGCTGAAATTAAGAGCAGGATGCTTAACCGATTGAGCCACCCAGGTGCCCCTGTATCCCTCTTTCTTGCTATTTGCAATAAATGCCTCTTCCCAGGCCAGGGTGGCATGCTCCCAAGCAGCCTTCCTTTACTAGAAAATTCTGCTCCATCATGTATTAGCTGTGTGACATTGGACTACTCACTTAACTTCCCTTAGCTTCTACTTCCTCAACACTAAAATGTGAAAATAATAACAACTGCCTCATTCGGTTCTTGAAAGGATTCAGTGAGTCCTGTATACAAAATGCCGAGCAATGGACGCTCAGTGCCCGATGCATGGTAGCAATTACTTTATCATCCTGTTGTTGTTGCCATACCAAATAGCCAGGTCTCATTGTTTAGGAAAAAGTGAGTGTACAAGAGAAAGTCTGTGATTGGGTGTGAAAGTCAGAGTGAGTTGGCATGTGCAGTCTTCTGTCTTTGTCTCACCTCCCTGTCCTCACCCCTTCCAAGGAAAGGAATGGAGGTCAGGAGTTGGACAGAGGGCAGGGGACCTGGCAGGCAGCCCCAGGAGGCAAACCGGACAACCTGCCTAGCTGGTAATGAGCTGGGCCCGCTCTAGTGAAGCCATCAACCTCCAGATTCTTCTGATAGCTCCTCTAGGGGCACCCTCGAGAGAGGAATTTGCAGCAACATGGCCCCCTGCGTTGAAACAACACACACATATACACATACACTCACACAACAGAGAAGGACAAGCCAACCGACAGATGCACAAAGAAACGAGGGCCAGCACATAGCTTCAAGTACACCGGCAGATTTACACTGGGCAACGCACACAGGTCAAGGACAGGCCAGCACACAGACACAAGATTTGAACTGACACTGCCTGCCACACAAAGAAGCCAGGACAGACACCCACAGATGGATCCCCATGCGCACCGGCACCCGGATAATAGACTTAGACACAGCAGCAGCACAGGACAGGCATGGACGTGGAGAGTTGTGCACACACTGACAGATGCCCAGACATGGGAACACACATGCAGATTCACACTGAGACCGATAGGCACCCCCGAATGAAAGAATACCCCTATATGATTACTGAAGGGGAAAATAAGGGAGGAAAAAAGGGAGGAACAGGAGGAACAGGGTGGAGGAGACACAAAAAGGAACGTGCTGGAAGAGGGAAGAGGAAGACAGAGGGAAGAGGACATTCCAGGCAGGAGCACAAAAGAGAGAGGTGCCACTGCCTCCTTTTGGCCAATGCCAGAACCCAGACCTGTGACTAAGAAAATGGCAGCTGGGAGGGCTTGTGGAGGGGGAGGAGGACCTGTCCCTGTAGCCCACCTTGGGAGTGGGGGCAGGAGCTCTCCTCTCAGGGCCACACAAGGTCCCAAAGTCTTGAGGGGCTTGGGCCACATAAGAGGGAGTGTGAGGGGACCCCAGGACTCCTGCCAAGCCCCCTGATACAAGGACAGTACTCTGGATCAGTCCTGAAGCCTGCGCCCAGGGGGAAAACGTATCCCTCTCCCAACATGAGATCCGGTCTCTCTGTTTTTGATGCCTTCAGTACCCAAGGGGTTAAATGCCTGGCTGATGGAGTTGGAGGCCACTTTTGGGGGGAATAAATAGGGTTAAATAGAACTGGGCTTATCTGCCAGAGCAGGCAGCAACATGGGGGATGGGGCAGGAAGCCCTTGAATTAATGGCCTGGAAAGCCAACATCATGAGCATCATTTCGGGGCTGAATGATCACAGACAGACCCCCCTCCTCCTCTTCCTTTTCCAGAGCAAGTTCTGTCTGTGAGCCTTTTCCTGCTGAAGGGACAGAAGCTGGCTCTATACATCAGGCCCCCTCCCTCAAGCTGGGGCATAGGTGAGGTTTTCCTATGGTTGGAGAAAGCCACAGCTACCTTGCCCGAAACTGGAACTCAATTTCCTGATGCTGTGTCTATGGGCACAAAGGAGGAGAGGGACCAGCAAGGCTGAGGGTTCCGAGTAGAACAAAGACCCCGATTCTTCCCCTGCTTTGGTGTGACAAATCAGGTGGGACCATGGAGGGTATCAGTGCTGCCTCTGATAGCTCAGGGTAAAAG